TTGGTGGATTGTGATATATTTCTAATAAAAGGAGAAAATAAGTTTTCTAATGCAAGTGATGCTCTGAAGAGAATGAAACTATATGAACAATGGAAGTGCATAAATAGCAACGAAACACATGGCCTTAGAACTTGGGCTTATTTTCTACTCCTAATCTATCATGTATTATATGCACAGCAGCATTATATTGTGCATGAAACTATCTTAAATCTATGTGCAAAATGAATGAATAATTTTTTATTGCGGCATTGTGTTAAAATGTTAATGGTAATAAATAATAATTCTTCTAACTTCTTGCTTCCAGCAAACTGTGATTCAATGGGGGTCATTACGTATATTACTGCAAAACTTGTTTAGGAAGTGACATGGAAATTTCAATTTCAAGATGAACTGATCGAAGTTAAATCTATATCATGTATCACCAAGAAAAGATGAAATGATTTTATTTTTATCCCAAACCAACCAACCCAACCTAACCCGACGACACATAATTGGGTTAGGCTGGGTTGGGTTGGGACAAAAATCGACTCAACCCAACCCAACCCACACCCACCCCTACTGGTAATCCTGAGGCTTCTTAACTTCTTCCAACAAGTCCTTATTCTACGGCGAAAGCCGAAACTGAAATGTTGGTAATGACATACCACCGTCCTTACAGTCTCCCCATAATCACAACCCGACGTAATGTTGAACCGTGTCATGATCTAAAAGTTTAAGAAGTTAGAGAAGAAACAAATTTAATTCTAGATTTTGTCTCAACATGCATATGCTGGTCGGATTAATATTTTAGTCACAGCTCGGCTCATACGTAAAAGTTTTTATAAATAGGTGGCAGCTATAATTGATTGAACCATCTTGTCTAAAAATTTAGCTTATAGAGAGGGGAAAATTTTATTTAATTAGATTCTGTCTTCGACAGGTAACAATGTTTATTCCCAAGTTCATTCTTCTTGCTATGAAGGGTGAACATTTGCCTACTCATGGTGATGGCACAAATGTGAGAAGTTATCTGCATTCTGATGATGTTGCTAAGGTGTTTGATGTTATACTCCATAAAGAAGTGATTGGTCATGTGTACAACATTGGCACAAAGAAGGAGATGAGAGTTTTAGATGTGGTTGCACAGATCTGCAAGCTTTTCGAATTGATTCCAAATTAGGTTGTAGAGTTTGTACAAGACAGGCCTTTTAATGATCCATGGTATTTCTTGGATGATCGGAAGCTAAAAAGGCTCAGATGGAATACAAAAGAAGGGGGGAATTCTTGGAACAAAGGGCTAAAAACGACCATGGAATTGTACATAAACAGGGCCAGACCTGAGGAGAGGCCCAAGAGGCTTTCGCCTCAGGCCCAGCTTTCTAGGGGACCCATCTTTTATTTTTTTCAAATAAAACCCAGTCTCAGTCTTCAAAAGTACAAAACCTCCAAAGTCTATACCAAAAGCTTGAGAGCTTAACGGCAAAAGCTAGACGGAAGAACGACGATGGAGGTCGGAGATGGAGCTGATGTGGTATACTCTCCTGAATTTTTTTCCTAGTTTGACAAGGAGTTGAAGTTTTGAACTATGTCATAGGCTAGAATACCACTAGTTTGGGCATTTTCCGTTAATGTTTGGGCTATTTTTACGAAGGTTTGTGCCATGTTTATCGCATAAAACTTGCAAACATGTAGAGTTATTTCGTGTTTCTCAGCAAATATCCAGACCAAATCGGATCATTTCTCTATTTCTGTAGATATAAACCTGCAATAAAGATAGGGGGTACTGAAAACAAAATGAACAAAAATAAGTAGGGCAAAGAAAATGTCATTTCAATAAAATCAAATTCTTCACTATTGAATGGTAACCAACCCAAGATTATAACATGTTAGAAATATTACTAGTTGCAATAAAGTAAAGTGCATAAATAAAATTTATCCACTAATCGAGTCTCGTGACAGCACTATATCCTAAAACAAAATTGTATGTCGATAACTGTTGCGACCTTTGTAGAAAATCACATCCAGTATACAACGATCAAATAAACCAATTGTACAGTAATCACAAATGATTTTAAGAACTCTCAAGTGTACTCCCGAAAATATGTAAAATTGAGTATAATATTTTTACTGAATAGGTAGATACAATTTTGTATTTGTAATCATTTTCTAATACCCAGATGTGTGTTTATATAGGCAGAAAAATGATGTAACTGCATCCACCATGATCCAACATTATTTGCAATTTTTATGGCTAGTGGTAATGGGTTGTTAATACTGAATAGTTTTTGTTCTCTCCTTTATTTATAAATTGCTTTTGTCAATAGTTTTTAATTGTTTAGGTGTGATCTATTCATACTTTTAAAAAGATTTGGAGCTTATGTTGCAATTATTCCTCTATTTTAATATTTTGTTACTTTTTTTCGAAATGTTGAATTTTAGTTGATTGATGTTATAATTCATGTTCTAATTTTACGGTCAAATTTCAATAATTGTTAACTATTGAGTGACTTGAGTCAAATAATATAACTCCTAAATATTCATTTGGAGTTCAAAAAAAGAAGAAGATAGAAGAGTAGAGGCATTAATTTGAAGTCATACTGGAGATACGGATAAGTACTTTAATAACAATAAAAGAAAAGAGAATGAAGGAAAATTGGAAATATAGTAATTGAGGAATAACAGAATCAGAATGATAATGTGGATGATTGGAAAGAGAACGAAGAAATGATCGAACCTGTGAATGTGGATGAATCAAAATGATAATTATATTTTCGTATTATTATTTGATCGTAATATAAATATTTTGCCTTTCATTTTTATTTGTTGCTTTATTGTTGATTTTAAGTTAACAAATTTAGTTCCGTAAAATTATTATAAATAAAAAAAATTATTACTTGTTATGACTTTGGAGCCCAAATTTTGTAGTTCGCCTCAAGCCCCAGGAAATATAGGTATGGAATTGTACATAAAGAATTATGGTTGGTGGGGAGATGTATCTGTAGCTCTCCATCCACATCTGAAAGTTTCAATGACATCATTTTCCCATGATGATGGTTGTTTCTTGTATTACACTAATGGGGGCGTGATAAATTCCATGAACTCGAGTATGAAATTCTTGATTTATTGAAGGACTAGTTGGATTGGAGGCTTCTTAGGAAAACTTTGCAAAGAACGTGTAATAGAATTCTAGTAAGGGGCAGGAAAACTATAGAATAGAAACTCACTAATTGAAGATTGAAGGATGGTACAACCAACTCGTGTGTTTAATGCAGCTGGAGTTGCAAACAGGCCTTAATGTAGATTGATGTGAATCACACAAGGTTGAAACAATTAGAACACATGTTGTTGGGATGCTAACTTTAGCTGATTTTGCGCGCAACAAGGTCTTTTAGTGCTTACCACAATAACTCGAATTCTATTGGGAAATTACAGAAAATAAGGGGTTTAATTTGACATTTTTAAAAGTCAGGTATACATTTTAAAAAATTAGGTTTCAAGTTTTGCAAATATCAGGTAGTATATTAAAA